CATGCCGCCATGACCCACCATGACACATCCAGAAAAGTGCTTTACTAAATCCTCCATGCTGAACCCAAGCCAACTAAGCTAATAATTAAGCTTAACTGTCATAGTAGCTTATTGTGATTTTGATTTCTTAAGTATCTTCTTATGTGCTTATTTTTTTAAAAAATAACTACTCAAATCATTTCTGTTTTTTTAAACTGAGTTTTTGTTTTACAGTCAGTCGTTATAATGAGTTTTTTATATATCCTGGATACTAGACCCTTATCAGATACATGATTTGTGAATACTTTCTCCCATTCTGTGAATTATCTTTTCACATTCTTGATAATATTCTTTAAAATGCAATTTTTAAAATTTTGACAAAGTTCAATTCAACTAATTTTTCTTTAGTTTCTTTTGTTTTGTTTGATTTTTAATTTTACAGAGAATAAAACTCAACCATGAAAACAGAATAAAGCCAATCAAAACAAAGCAGTGAAACTGGTACATAACTTCAAAACAGGTCGACAGGTCATCAACAGTGACTATCAAAATATATCTTGTTATCTTCACAATAGTTGTCCATTTCCTCAGACAGAGTAAAATCAAATAAAACAAAGCAGAATTAAAACAGAGCATTGACTAAAAGAAAACAATAAATAGGAACAAAACAGTGAGAATAATACTGGATTTCAAAAACAAGACAGAAGGAACTCCCCCATATTTGATGTATTGCATGCTGTCATCCTCCTAGTAGATGCTCAGACTACCAACCTTAGTCCTACAAAGTCAGTCAAACAATACAAGCACCTACTTGTTTTTGTACCTCGGTTGCTATCAACTCAGTCTGTCCTCCAAACCAGCCCATTGCTTATGTGGGGTGGGGGATGCTAGTCTTGATTCTCAGCCCATGCCAGTGGGCTGTGGGCTCTTGGGAAAGGCAATCTGGCTTCTCTCTTCCTGGGCTCCACCTGGTTATAGGAAGATTAAAGTAGCTTCTTGATGTGCTTGTGCTTTTGGACAGGATTCCTTTTAAGTGATAAAGCCACAGAAAAGATAAGAAATTTTAAACCACTCACCAATCTTACAAAGCTTGCCATTCCCATTTGCTTTTACTAAAGGTTTCTAATTTTCCAACCCTCATATCTTTTAGTTGGCCCACAAACTGGCTTGCTTCCATAGCACCAAGTTTTAAAACTCTAAACTTTGAAGAACTGGCCATGCCTAACCAGTTCTCATTCTACAGGAATCAGGCAGTAGCTGCTACTTTAGCTGACTTCAAGATAAATCACGGATTCATCCCTCAGGCTCTGCGGAGGACTGGTTCCAGGACATCCCCACCCCACCCCACCCCACAAGGATACTAAAGTGCTTAGGTGCCCAACTCCCTGATGCAAGGTGGCACAGAATTTGCATATGACCTGCACTCATCCTTCCATATACCTGAAACCATCTCTCAATTACTTGTAACACCTAATGCAATATGAATGCTATGTAAACAGTTGTGAATCTATATTGTTTAAAGGGAAATGACGAACAAAAAGTCTACATATTTTCGACACAGACGTAATTTTATTTTTTAATTTTTTTAATCTGCAGTTGGTTGAATCTGCAACTAAGAAAGCACAGGATGGGCCTGAACAGTATGATTATTTTCATTATTAGTAGCTACAGTAGAGCTTTAAAAGCCCATATCTCTTCTCCATATCCTTAAAATAAATCATTTCTTTATAGTAAATTGAATTTGTTGCTTATAACCGGAACATTCTCCATAAGATACATTGGGGATATTTTTTCCTCCTAGCAGAATTTCAAGAAGATATAAGATGAGAGGAGGAGACTCCACGAGGCTGTTCCTTTTAACAGTGGTCTCTTCTGAGCGGAGCAGTGCCCTGCTCCTTTTGGTCTCATCCTGCTCTGGGCTGGACAAAGTGTGACTCTCCAGACCAAACAGAAACTGCTGTCAGGGACAGTTTCTACCCCTTGTCCTGGCCCTGCCTTAAAAATCACATCAAACTAAGGAGCCTTATTTTTAACACACATATACTGGCTGCTCTGCCACTATTCTGAATCACAAATTACAAAAATCTTGACCCAAAGCAATCCAGGCGAAACAGGGCATCTTCAGAATCCTATATTCAAACTATGGGTCACAGAGGTACACACGGACCCACAAGTGCCAAAGACACAAATGAACTCTTTCAGGCTTCAGCCACACCTTGTGTTTGCATCTCTCTGCATATCTTGTTAGTCTTTCTGCATGTGAGTGGTCACAGAGACGCGGTATATGACAGTCGCCAGAGTTGCATCCTTTTATTCCTAGACAGAGACAACCCTATTTTTTTCTCCCCAGGTCTTGAGAAAGCCCAAAGAAAGACTGATTGAACCATGCTGGGTAACATGTTCATTCATGGACAAATCACAGCAAATCACAGCAGGGAATGGGATATCATGAATGGGATATCATGACCTACATGGGTCAGATACCTACCATTCAAACAGTAACTGGTCAGACAGACATGGCTCTGTCCCTCAGATTAAATGGTGAAGAGGAGGAAAGAAGAGACCACCATGTGCTGCCACTAAAGGTTTGTAGACCCTACCATGATGTAAATTAACCTAATACCTAAGAAACGTGTCAGGAATGAATAAAAACAAGACGGTGAAAGGTTCTTGCCCTAGTATAAATTACTAGGCAGTGGTCTAACGTGGCGGAAGGCCAAAGTGCGAACGCTTACCACTTCCTGCTTCTTCTTCAGGCCTAATTGCAACTGCACTTCCTGTTTGCAGGAACAGAGAATTCCATTCGGTTCCTCACACATCATCAATACCTCCCCATGCGCCAGGTCAATCAGAGTCATGTGACCCTCTGCCTCTGTGTCTGGTTGAAGGAGACAGCCCAGCTGCCCTGGGTTGTGTGCTCCTTTCCACAACCTCAACTCAATAAATCTGTTAATTTTGTACTTTTGCTTCTCTATTGCACCAGAATATTCTAACGGACAGTAGTTCAGGTTACAAAACACATGAAAAAAATGATCAAGCAATCAAACTTAAGATAACGATGTGCATTATATTAAATTGTTAATTTCCTTATTTTTAAATTCAGTATCACTTCTATCTTTTGTTTTTAAAATAAAAGAACAAGATGGTAAAGGAAATATTAAAAAATGTTTATCTGATACTTGCTTTGTTTCTAGTACGCCATTCACTTTTTAAAGTTTCTCATGGTCTTACAGCGTATTCTTTTCCTTACTTTACAAATGAGGAAACTGAGTTTGAGAAGAAGTACCAAGTTAACTGTCCAAGTTTCCTGGATTAACAAGTGGCTTCGTTTCCCCTCTGAAGAATGGCAAATTCCCTCTTTATCCCACACTTCCATGTTGCTGTGCTTGGGGGTTTCCAGCATTTCTGCCCTCCACACACATCCTTAGGAAGACAAAGATTTGGAAAGAGCTAGCACTCAGACCCCAAACCTTCTGTGTTACTCAGCTTCCCATTACTGCACCAAATACCTGATTTAAATCAACTTTTTTAAAAAAGGTTTATTTTGACTCAAACTTTTGGAAGTTTCAGTCCCTGACTGATTGCTTGGCCCTGTTATTTTGAGCCTGTGAAAGCGCGTCTGGGTAGGAGAATGTGACAGAAGCTGTACACCTTGGCAGCCGGAATTTTAAAAAGAGGAGACAAGACACCTGGCTTCCCACTTTTTTATGCCCTTCCAGGGCACGCCCTCAATGACCCATGACCTCCATTAGGCTCCACCTTTTAAAATCTTCCAATAGTGCCATACTGGAGAACTAAGCCTTTAATACATGGGTCTTTGTGGGACATTCCAGGTCAAAACTATGGCACCCTCCTCATGAGCCTCTAAATCTATGATGGAAATAGCCATCTTACCATTTAGTTTGACTAACCTGAACTGGCCTTGAACAACGAAGACAGGAGACTTATGCCCTCTGTTCAAATGGGAAAAAGATACTGTGATCATTAGCTATGTCAGTTACAGTCACAACACAAGGAATTTACTGTGAGTGCTCTGTGCCTGGTAATTTTATTCTCCAATTACCAGGCAAGAGAATATCAACTCTTGATTTTTTCGACTTCCTTACAGTCTACTTTTAATTTTCTGTCTCTACCCAACTTTCCTTTCAACATGCTGTAGAATAACAATGCTTTGTTTCCTAGCATCCTTCTGGTCTCTGGAACGTTGCCTTGGTGGGAATAACATTTATTTACATACCTTTACTAGACTCTTGTCTTTGGTATCAGAGTCTCGTGGCCACTCTGTTTCTCTTACGCAAGTGAAGGTCTTACATTATTCTGTGGACCCTTGCTCCTGAACAGCTCAGAGTATGAATCTGAAGCCCCCAGCCTCTTCCTTATTTATCCTGGCTTTCAGAAGAAAAGGGTTTTTGCCTCTCCATTACCATAGTCACCCACAACCCATGCAATATAGATAATCACATATAAGTAATTCACATAAAAAGAGAGTATATTACCACTGCATACACACATAGCTATAAAGATCCTGGGTGAAAGTGTAGATATGTGCACACACTACACACACACACACACACACACACACACACACACATACAGCACCTGACTTTTCTCTTCCTTAACCCTCCAGTGTAGTGCCATAAACTTTAACCATTCTAGGTTATGTGTGGAAAGGGAAAGAAAGAGAGCTTCTAAGTTTATACATCCAACTCCAGGGCATCAGCGAGGAGTGGGTGAAAAAACATTGACGTGTCTATGGAGTGGGACACTACACAGCCACGGTCGTTAAACAAGGCAGGCACTGGCTCTGTATGCCCCAGAAGGGAAATATCACTGTGTCACATTTATTAAGCAAGCAAAGCATGTCAGTGTGTGAAAAACTGTTCAAATGAGGGTGTTCAAAGGTACTGGGTGGATGCAAACACAAATATCCCCTGGCAGAAAGCACAGCAAACGTGTGTGAATGATTCCACTTTTGTTAAAATAATAATGTGGCTAGCATGTATGTTTAAAAATACATTCAGGTGCTCGCTTCAGCAGCACATATACCAAAATTGGAATGATACAGAGATTAGCATGCCCTGTGCAGGGATGACACAGAAATTCAGGAAGCGTTCCATATTTTGAAAGGTAAGGCCTTCCTGGCTGATCCATCTGCATCTGTGGCCGCTGCCCCTGTCACTGCAGCCATCACTGCTGCTCCTGCTGATGCAGCCGCCCCAGCCAACGTTGAAACGGAGGAAGAGTCAGAGGAATCAAATGAGGATATGGGATTTGGTCTCTTTGACTGATCACCAAAAAGCAAACTACCCAGTGTGCACAATTCTCTTTAGTTAAAAAAATTACATTTAGAAGAATATACTCCATACTATACAGTCATTTCCCACGGGAAATGGAATGATGAGGGACATTTAACTTTGAGGTTATATATTTTTATGATTACATTGTGTGTGTGTGTGTGTGTGTGTGTGTGTGTGTGTGTGTGCGTGTGTGTTTATCAGTACCGGGGATCAAACTCACAACTGCCTGCTTGCAAGGCAGGTGCTTATGCCACTGAGCTAAATCTCCAGCCCCATGATTACATTTTTAACAGGAATGCGTTTCATTTTTTTTTAATCTCCTTTTTTTGGAGGAAGAGTGTCTTTTTGAAACAGAGTCTCACTGTACAGTTCAGGAGTTCACTTAAACTCACTTTGTAGCCCAGGATGGTCCTGAACTCTCAACAATCCTTCCGCTTCAGCCTCCTGAGTGCTGGGATTACAAGCAGTGCCACCATGCCTGGCTTAAAATTTACTTTGAAAGTTTACGTCACATACATATTTAAGATCCCACTGTGACTTCAATCAGAATGAAAAGAGGGGATAAAAAGGGAAGAGGGGAGAGGGTGAGTGGAGGGGATGGGGAGGGAGGGAAAGAGGGAAGGGCAGAGAGAAAGAGAACCCGGCTCCCCTCTTTGAGCAGTCTTTACCACTTGGAAGGATATTTTCAGCTACTGGAACTACTAAAGCCTAACTTTTCAAGTTAGAAAGGAAACATATCAGTGCCCTAAAGTAACAACAGCCCAGATGCTGATGCGGCATCTCACCCCACCATGCCCAGGGCATGTGGCCCATAAGGATCTGTATTTTGGCATCATCACCAACAACGTGTAGGGGCATTGACTGTGTGTGTCCTTTCCTGTGTCCTTCATGCCCAACCCAACACCTAGCCAGCTCTCGTTAGCACTTCCACTCCCTGGGACGATGATGAATTTTCTCTCTCTGACCTTGGCACTGAATTACATCTCCGGCCATTTATTTCTTTTTATTTTGAGACAAGGTCTTGGGCAACTTCTAAACTGCCCAGGCTGGGTTCAGACTTGTGATCCTCCTGCCTCAGCCTCCCAGAGTGCTGGGCTTACAAAAGTGTGCCACTGCACCTCTAGTTGGCTCTAGCACTTCTAACTGCCGTCTTGAATGAGGCACCCAGGGTATAAGGCTCAAACTGTACAGCACACTTGGACACACACTACTGAATGTCTTTTTCTTTTCTTTTTCCCAGATTATTTCTCCTTTAATTGCTCCTGATGCCACTGGGTCCCATCAGTCCTTGAGTGGCAATTGGGCCTCACCTCGCACTGGCTGCAATCTCCGGTTGCAATCTGCTTGTGGCCGTTTATCGCATTTTCCGACAGGACAGGAAGCTGTTATTTCATCGTGGACTCTCTATTCCCCTCTGCAAATTAGCTCTCGGCTCCTCTCATCCAGGTCCCCGCTGCGTTATTGCTGTGACACACACATCTTTCCTGTGGAGGTGGCCTTTCAGGGTTTTCTTAGAAACCTTGGTTTGCTACAATTTATGCCTTGATTAAAAATGTGCTGTCGGGTGAAACATACCATTCAGAGGAGGGTTATTTGTTAATTAGCAAAACAAATCAGGTCAAATGTTTCTCATAAAGATTTTGCATGTCTGCAATTCTGAAATGGCTCAAATTTGGCTTCCTAAGTGATTTTGTTTTCTAAAGAATAAAAGCAAAGGGAAATCTATGTTTTTAGGCAAGTTCTAGAAGTAGTAACAAGAAAGACTAATCTTCCCTGCACTGTTTTTTTTTTCAAAATTCATGCATCCTAAAAGAAATTATTTTTAAATAATGACAATTTTGATATCACTGGCTTTTGTTTGATTTTAATACAGCAGTGACCCATGAGAGAGGAGCCATTTGATGGACCTCATTATCTGGGAAAGTTTTTCTTCCGAAATAGCTATCCAATATTCCAATAAAATTTAGGTCCTCTTTGGATATATGGGCTTTAACACCAAGGTTGACTTCATGAGTACAAAACCCCTTGTATTGTTCTGCAGGCAAGCTGGCTGTCATGACGTCATCTGAGAACAGGAGTCTGTCTGTCTGCACCCACAGTGGCCCCTGGCACAGCGCCCAGCGTGCAGTAGGTACTCGGTAGAAGGCTGTGTGAGTGCACCGAGCCTGTGCTGTATGTACTATTTTGGGTATACTGTATCTTTCTTCTTGCTTGGCCCTCTTGGGGAAGAAGGAGGTGGCGATCGGGACTGAATCCAAGGCCTTCCCCCTGAGCTACATCCCCAGCAGTTTTTTTATTTTTAATTTTGAGATTGTCTGATCAGACAATGGTTCCCTCAATCCCCGAGGAACTAGAGACCATGAGTTCTATCTTCCTCGTCCTTTTATTCCTGAAGAAATTCTTAGGAACATTTTTAAGTTTTTAAAATATTTTTAAAATTTTTCCAGCTATATGGCAGGCATTGAGGAATATAAATACATAGAAGAGAAAGACAGGATTGCTGCCAGCAACAACCTTGCCATTTATTAATAGTAACAGTGACAAAAATAATTAAAATGTGTCTTATAGGGAACTGTGTAATGTCATGTGCGCCCTGCCTGATCTCATTCTCTCAGGAGCCCTCTGAGGTGAGGTTCTGATTCCCATCTTATACACAAGGAAACTGAGACTCTAGGAAGTTAATGAGTTGCCTGGTAACACCTTGCTTCAGGCCTGTGAGAAGCAGAGCGGGTTGGGCATGGTGGCGCACACCTGCAATCCGGGTACTCGGGAGGTGAGCCAGGAGGTCACCCAGGGTGACAGTGAAATGCTGTCTCTAGTGAGAAAGGGGTGGTGGAGCTGTGGATGTAGCTCAGTGGTAGAGCACCCCTGGCTTCAATCCCTAGGACCAGAAGAAAGGGAGGAATGGAGGAAAAGAGAGAGACAGAGACAGAGACAGAGACAGACAGAATGCTAACCCAGTGTGGCTGAGGACGCCCCCCAGGACCGGTTGTATGTGTGGTTTCATGACAACGACCCCAGGAGGGCAATACTGTCCATCAGAAGATTAGAAGTGGTGACTGTTTCAGCAAAACTCCTGTGGTTGAAGTGACAGAAATAGAAATCCAGCTTGATGTCATTTTGAAAAGAGGAAGGGAAAATTTATCGGCTCGCTGCAGGGAAAAGTCCAGGGATCCGACCTTGGCAGGGTCCCAGCCGCTGTACTGAGTCAGCGGGCCGCCTCTCTGCACCCCGGTTCTGCGCTCCTCCAGCTGCACTGCAGGCCAGTGTCTGCTCTGATGGTGGCACAGATGCCTCGAGCTCCAGGGGCACACGGAGCAGCTCAGCGTCTTCTGCCAAAAGACAGGGCATCATTCCCAGGAAGCCCAGCCAAGGCCTGTGCCCACTCTCATCTCTGTGGCAAGCACTGTGTGCCAGCCTGTCTCCCTGGCCCACCCCAGAGACCAAGCACAAAGCCGTGGACCACAACCTCCAGAGCCTGCACTGACTTCAGAAGAGCCAGGGGTAGTCCCGGAGGTGCTGGCCATGACAGACAAGGACATTCGCCCCAACTCTGACCCCCACATGTGTTCATCTTCCCACCTGGCACCACACAAGAAAATAAATAGGATCTAAAGCTGAAATTAAATGTAAATTTAAATCAGCAAAATAATTACCTTACAAATTAAATAGTGAATATTTAATTATGTCAATTTAGAATAAGTAAATAACATAAATTTAAATTTTAAATAAAAACTTAAATAAAATAATTTCTTAAAATCTGTGACCCATCCGGGGAGAGAGTGGCTGTGAAATGTACACTGCAAAGGGAGCGACTGTCGCTGTGACCTGGCTCCTCACACACTAAGACAGAGAATTCCTGGATGCCTCTCCACAGACACTGCCATGCTGCTATTAACTCAACTGCGGGCTTTATTTGGGTTTTGCCAATTTTTCCAGTAATATCCTTTTCCTATCCCAGGATCCAATCCAAGGTACCACGCTGCATGTAGCCATCATAGCCCCCAAGCTCTCTACACTGTGGCTTTCCTTCTTGCTCAGGACTTTGGTAGTCTTTAGGAGAACGGCACCATGTGAAACTGGGACCACCAACACGGATACTTCATTTTAATTTCCTGCACATAGATGTATCATCACTGCCCAGTGATGACCAGTGCTCTGAGCATGGGTCCCCTAGCTAGAGTTGCACACCACTTCTCTATCCTAAACCACACCAATAATGTACCATCTGTGCAGTTTGAAACCAAATCTCTTTGAAGAGTCTGCATCACTTGGAACTGTTCTGGGCTGAAAGTAACCATGAAAAAAAGTGCAAACATTTCATTATTCTGTATATAAAATGGTTTAAAGACAGATATTCCAGCACTGTTGCTGAGGCTTCACAACCAATAAAGGCCCAACCATCCCCTCACTTCTAGTCTCCTAAATGTTAGCTTGCAGGCTCATGTCTACAAAATAGTTGCCACATCTCCAGATATTACATCTATATTCAAGGCAGGAAAGAGATGAGGTATCTGCTCCTTAGATCACCAAAGCAATTTTTCTCAAAACCGCCCCTACCCTAGCAGATGTTCACCTATTCCTTAGTGAGAACTGGTTCACAGGCACATCCAGCACCAAAGAAAGCTAAGAATTCATATGCTTAACTTTCCAGCCTCTGTAACAGAGACAGACCAAAAAGAAAGAGGATGGAGACAGGCACTGAGCTACCCAGCCAGTGATACCTTCCAAATGAGACCTAAAACAATTCAAATCCTTCTGAATGCAGACTTCTTCTAAACTTTACCAAAATCATTAAACATTTTATTTTCATCTATTCTGGTTTT